GCAAACACTGGATGGAGTGAGGCTCAGTGAGCAGTGAGCGCAGTCGAAGAACTGGATGCAATGACAACAACAACATTTGTAAACGCCTGAATCACACAAACATCACAACATATTGGAAAAACATGAAATCGAAAGCCTCCAGGACAATGTACTATACGTTTACTAATTAATCAGAAACACACAAACATTTAAAAAAAAGAAAAAAGAAAACCGAGACGAGAGCAGAAGTATTGTAGGGTAAAGAATGAGATGATAATCACAAAAAGAGACCGGAAGAACGATCGTCCGGCGAGAGCGAGAGCGAGGCTGAGAGACAACAAAAACATCCATCATCAGAAGAAGCGAAAGTCCGTACCTTGATACCCTCCTGCCTGCTGCCTTGCACACTCGCCCCCTCTCTCTCTCTCACATGTTTCTCTGCCTTTTCCGTGTACCACTCTCTCTCTCTCTCTCTCTCTCTCTGTGTCTCTCTCTCTCTCCCCACAAGGGCAAAAGATGGATGGCTGCAGACAGGCAGTTTCTCACCCGCTTGATCGGTCGATAGATCTATATCGTTCGACAGCCTGTTCCAAATTGAATTCATTTCTTGATCTCATAATAATGTCAACGCAATGTCGAGAGAACAGAACCATCGCCTTAAAAGGCCGAGAAGGTCTTTGAGACATTACACTTTCCAATGAGTCCATAAGAGTCGGATAAAAAAAAATCCCTTAAGACAAAACAAACATCACAGACACATTATGCAATATGATGAAACCGATCGATCCAACGAATACCCCGTCGTCTATAGCTCGGTGACAGCCGGCCGTCCAACGTCCGACACTCATCAATGATCAATCCGTTTCGCACTGGCCTCTCTCTCTCTCTCTCTCTCTCTCTCTCTCTCTCTCCCTCTCTCTCTCTCTCCTTCTCTCACGATAAGAACCTAATAAGACCAAAACAGCCCACCAGAGTCTTCTCCAGAATCTCCACTGTTCCTGCCAAACATTCATTCTACGACTTCTCTCTCGTCTTCAAGATTTCTCGCACGCAATCACAGAAAGAATGTCGAGCAGTATCTCGACCATGTGCATCTCACACGCAATCACAGAAAGAATGTCGCGCAGTATCTGGACCATGTGCATCTCGCACGCAATCATCGTCATGCCAACCTGCGAGAACATACCCATCTCTCACCATCGGATCAAATCCCTTCTATGTACAACAAACAACGTACCATCAAAATGGAAAAAAAAAAAATACATCACGCACCGCCAGTCGGCCTGGCAGTCGTGTCCCATTAGTCAAATTCAATTCAAGTTCAATCAATCAACAAACCATCCACCGGTCCTCCATCCATCCTGTGCACTTGATAGGAGTAGGGATCGCGAGTCGGGACAATCATTATGGGAACACTGTCCCACCATCAAATCAAATAAAATCAAATCGGTCCGGACAAGAGCAAAAAAGGGGGGCGAGGGGGGAGGGGGGAGGGGAAGCGTATCCATACCCTCCCTCGTACCACAGGCATCTCCATCTCCTACCACCACCTGTCTCACATCCCTCCCTCACTCCCTCCTCCCCTCCCTCCCCTCCTTCCCTCCCTCCTTCCATCCTAGAAAGTTATAATTGAAGACCCTCATGCCCCCCAGACCACGTTCAGGCCAACCAGACACATTCACATTCATCTTAATCAAAAAGATCCGGAGAAAAAAAAACAAAAACAAAAAAAAAAACATCAGCCATCCCTTTACTCCAAACGAAAAGATGAACCGCCAAACTAAACCCGACGAGAAACAGAAGCGCCTCCACCGATGTCACCGATGGGCAACCGTATAACGAACACGACGTCCGACGACAACTGATCACACACACCTTCACACAAGGTGTGTCAAGTACACGTCATCACATCGCCGCCTCCTCTCCGTGCGCTCCTCTGCGTGGATGTAAGTTCTTCCTCCATTCCGCCTGGAATCGTGCAGTACGCTCAGCTACGGAGCAAAAAAATAAAAAATAAAAAATTATAAACAGACCTTGAACGGCAACAGACGAAGACACCCCCCACCCCTCAAAAGGCTCAAAGTGATCATGATAGAGCTTCGAGACGGCGAGACATCGAACCAATCCTCCAGAACCACTAAAAGCTAAACAGTTCCAGTAGCGTTCCAAATAACCCCCTCCCTTATCCACATCACACCCCAAAAAGGCACTCATCGTTCCGAATAACCCCCTCCCCGATCCACATCACACCCCAAAAAGGCACTCATCGCTACCATCCACCCGTCCATTTCCCGAATAAATCCACGGCAGCAGTGACAATTTGACAATACCAAAAGCAAAACACCTCAAACTCCGTCGCCGCTGCCATGACATTCATTAATTACCATAGTCGTAATAATAGTGTACGTTCATTGAAGACTCGAACAGTACACTCAACAGATCGCTCACCAACGTTCAACCAATCAATACATGCTAAGCGCCCCCGCCACCACTCCACCGGATCCCGACCGTCCTTTCCACCCACCCACACTAGTGTCCCGTTCCATCGGTATCAACAAGCCCAAAAAAGAATAACCTTGAAGTGACCTGTCATCTCAACAGATGCACTGAAAAAGGACAGCGAAAAAACATATACATTGTTACGAATCAAATCCTACAAATCCTAACTATGAAGCGAAAAAGATCACGATCATTATCATCCTCATCATCATCATCATCATCACCATCGTCGTCGTCGTCGTCGTTGATCTTCGCAGTCAGCCCGGGCCGCTCCGTTCGGGATCCGTTGAATGTGCAGCAGCCAAATAAAAAAGAACAGTGCTCCCAAGCCAGCACAATGCAAACGCACAGGACGATACATAGCGCCGCGACTCAACGCCGCAACAGTCGACAGTAACAGTCAATCGTAAAGAGCAAGCGACGACGGATCGAAACCTGGTCAGCCGCGGAGCCCCCCGCTTTCATCCGTGGCTCCGTTGAAAATCGGTAAGGCCACAAGAACAAGAACATGTTGACCGTGATGACCATCCCCTCCCTTGTCATGACCACACGTTCGTAAAATAGGGAACAACAGCCCTGAATCAAAAACTAATTCCAGAGCCCAAAAGCTTGTAATGGGGGGTTGGTTGCCCAAGAGAGGTCGCACGGCGAAAATACCCCCTGCGGTAGTAAATAATGGGGTAGCATTGGGGTCCGTAACCAGGAGTCGAATGCTTAAGAAATCTTCGTCGCACGCAAATGACATCAAACCAATACCAATGGAAAGCACACAGCTGGTAGTTCATCTCGACATGACGAACGCGGCCTCCAGCGTCCTCTTCATACAGTATATCCTTCATCTCGGCTCTGATCGAGGCGGCGTTAATCATGTCGTCAATTTTCAGTACGCCACGGTAGTTCGTTCGAGGGAGCCACGATCATCAATTTTCAGCACTCACCGGCCGCCGACTATTGTCGTCGTTGCAAAACAAGTTAACCAGCGCCAGGTCACAGACAGCGTGATTGATTCAAAAAGTCCGTCCCGAAGACAGCCAAACACAAGTTCTCAAAATCTAATCTTCCCTCGTTGATGGCAAATTTAGCTAACTAGCTATATACTGTATGTATATTTCCTCTTACACCTGCCATTCCCACCCACTACATCTCTGCCTCCCCCCTCCTTTTCTTCCCAGCTGCTATCCATCCATTCCACTTATCACAGTGGAACACGGGCTGTATTCCCCTCCCTACCCCTCCTCTTCCAGACCCCATATCCCATCGGCGTGCCGACGATGGAGAGGGGCTTATTGCGGCGGATCCGACCGTGACACCGCTTTGCACACCGCCTAAGGAAAAATTACACTTGAGATAAACAGTCGTAAATTCCTTCGTTACAGATTTCACCACAGTTTGAAACCGTTCCGTGAATGAGCAAAGGAGTTTCCGAGGAGAACGACGACGACGACCTCTCCTCACCTCTCCTCTCCTCCTCTTCTCAGAAGCCCGAAAAGAAAAAGGAGGACGCTCAACCGAACACACGACACGGATCGAGGCATATCATCTTCCCTCAAACCGACGAAGACAATCAGTAAGTTTATTCACAGAGTTTGCCATCCACGACAATGGCTAGATCAAAGAGCGGCCGCCCACCCCGACTCCAAAAAGATAGCTTAATCATAATAAAAGCGGGCGGGGCGGGCGGGCAAAAGGCCGTAAGTAAATCCGCAAAGACAATTGAAAAAAGCAAAAACAATCCATTCAGGAAAACTGGTACGAGGCTCATCATACGAAAGTATACGAAAGTACAACTACTAACCGAGTCTATCGCCATAATGATTGAAAGGCTATACTTCTGCTCGACTACCGGTAGTAGCATATGACGAATAAACAGCACTCAAAGAGCACACACATTGTCATGCGTATATATCATCACATGAATATATATATCATGAATCCAAGCACCTCCTCGTCCTCCGATATCTGAAATCCACTTTACCTGCAGTGCAACCCCGCTATAGACGCGCGGCTCTTCACCAATGCTCCTGCTCGCTGATGGCTGTACTAGCTATAACAGAGAGCGATGGAAACGGCACCGCCAACCTCACCGGCAGGCAAACAAACAACCAGGAGAAAGACTACTAACCTGACGGCGGCAGCTTTCAGATATTACCAGAACATTGCAATTGCAAATCAATCTCGCCAGTGTCGCCACCACGCAAATCTGCCCAATCCCCCTCGGCAGCCAAGTCACGCATTATCACGAAGGATTCAAAGAAACAAGCCGAGGTAACAGCTCCAGCCTCCAGGAATACAGCTGTCAGAGGAGGAAAGGGGGGGGGGGGGGGGGGGGGGAAGGATCGGATCAATCCGTGGGATTAAAGACGAAGGGGCAACACGTTGCGAAGCAAAACACCGGCCGGCTTGCGCCCTTCGAAGACGTCGACATAACTCCGCACGCGGGATTGACCACATCTCCACCACGATCCGCGGATATCATATGTTCCCATTTCCTCCAAATGTTCCCTATTCCTCCAGAAAAAAGGACGAGAACATGCAATACGCCGAAATACGGCATCAAAGGAACCTTAGCAGGAGCGTGAGAAGTGGGCAACAACTGTTAGTAAGAAAACCTCGTATACTCCTCTCTCTCTCTCTCTCTCTCTCTCTCTCTCTCTCTCTCGTTGGCTTGCTCTACGGCACTGAGGCAGGCAGACAAAATTGATCGATCACGCGCATGACAAGGAGAGGTGTCGATGATCATTCACAGTGACTGGCGATCTGTTCGTGGTCCTATGGGTGCTCTTGCTCCTGCTGTTGAGGTTGATGTGGCCGCTGCTCCTGCTGCTCCTGCTGCTGCTGTTGCTGCTGATGCTTCCCGGCCGAGTCCTTACAGGTAGCTTCGGAGCCCCCGACTCGTGCTACAAGATTTTCATCGTGGCCCCACGACCTCTCGTGATCACTGCTGCTACTGCCATTCACTCGAAAGGACGGACGTATTCTCGCCCTTCCTCCAGACGATTTACAGAACAGTACGTGTCTGTTAAGCGACGCGTGATTGAATCTCCTTCCGCAATCCGGGCAAGGAAACATAGCTTCTCCCGTGGCCGCGCCGGTCATTTGCCCGACAGCACTTGTAGCACCACCAACGACATGAGCACCTCGTACGGAATTATGCTCCCCTCCTTCCTTGTGACGCTGCTGCTCTGCCTCCTGCTCCGCCGGACTACTCTCACTCCACCTGTGTGCTGCCCCTCTCGCATCTTCGATCGCCGTCCGATCATCATCGGTCGCGTCAGAGTCCTCTCGCTCCTCCTCCATCTCGCTCTTCTCTATACCACAGCCATTCTTCACACGATCAGCGCCGTTCGCTCGATCCTCCACAACGTCCTCCTGTGCGTCACTTGTCCGATCGCCAGCGTTAGTCTCCGACAGGTTCCCGCGCCCGTCTGCCACACCCTCACCGGATCCCTCGTCCTTGCCTGCAACCCCTTCCTCAACAGGAGCATTCGTGTCACAGGTAGTACTAGGAACCAGCGACCGTACTGCTGGAGGGGCGGGCGCCCGTATCAGTGGAGCTGCGGGCGTTAGCGGCAGACGATACCTGCTAGGCGGACCGTGCTTGGTGGTCGTTCCTGACCCGTCCTTCTCTCGCACCGGGAGCGGTGGAGTACCCCCGCCAGTTCCGTTCCTGTCACGACCTCCTCCTCCTCCTCCTCCTTCCTTCATTTTTCGCTTCGTGTACCTAATTGCTTCTCCCAGCGTGAGCTTGCCAAGTGATTTTGTGTTCCCATCAATCCTACGGCCATCCTTCGTCACAAATCCGCACTCCGCGCTCTTCTCCCACAACTCTATACTCTTACGAAAGTCAATCACTCCACCACCCCTTCCCCTTTCGGGCTTAAACGTCGACGAAGGGGTCTCAAATTCCAACGACGACTCCCTTTCCGACTTAAGCGTCGACAAAGGGGTCTCGAATTCCAACGACGATTCGCCCGACATATCGCAACCACTATTTCCTCCATTCTCTCTTTCCTCCTCCGTACTTACCTCCTCTTGCCAGCTGTTCCTATTATTATTGCTGTTGTGCTCCGAAGCAGTCGATTGGCCGTACGCCCGCGCGTCTTCGCGTCGCTCGCTATCCTGCTCCTTAATCTCTACTCCTCCGTCGGACTGACCATACTGATCATGCTCTGTCCGGGGTTTCTCCTTTGATACTCCCCTACCTCCTCCTTCCTCCTCTTCCTCTTCTCCATGCTCGCCTGCCATGCCCACTGTGCAACTCGTCTTCTTACAACAACGCTGAGATTTGCTCTTCGTATCGTCTTCTGTCTTATCCTCGTCGCCAGAGTCATTCGCTGATGTTGCGCCTTCCGCCACAATCGCGTTTTGAAACGCTGAGACGAGCTTCGCGGACCCTGCCGCTCCATCGAGGCGGCCTTCCTCGATACCTGCTGAACGATCTTCCCGCTGCGAACCAGCAAAAAGCTCTGTTCCATCATGCTCTTCTTCGGATGTACGTCCTCCGCGTTGAGCAGACGTTCTTCCTTGTCGTTCTGTTTCACAGCGATCGGCAGTCTCCCCTTCCACCGACCCGCCAGCCTCCTCCATCACCACTGCATCGTCTCTTTCCTCCTCGATTTCTTCGCCGGGAATGAGGCAGGCTTGCCTTCCCGGGTGGGTGCTACCATCTCCCACTTCCTCCTCCTCTGCAACACGGCTGCACTGGACGTCACTGCCTTCTTCTTCAGCGCGGCTTGCATGGCTTCTGCCTTCCGTTACTTCCCTTCCCTCGTAGGGGCCGCCGCCTCTAGTCCCGAGCTCATCAGCGAATCGGATACTCTTTTCCTGAACGCCAGTCTGCTCGACAGAGCTCTCCATCGCCAGCCCGCCACCTTCATTCCTTGCTTCGTTGCCATCGTCTTTCCCTTCGCTCACAATCTCGATCATGTACTGCCGAGGAGTCTCACGCCCGGCGTCGATGGACACCCTCCGCTGACCGGCGTCTGACTTCTTCTTTGCCTCGACTTCGCCCAATAAGCGTTCTGCTGCTTGAGATTGACTAGCATACGATGGAGCGCGCACTGTGTCCTCCTCTCCTTCAGCATAAGGATCGCGTGTCGTCGCTTGAACAGCGAGAATCTGCGCCGGCGCAAGTTCTGTGTCATTTTCATGGGGCTTCGTCGTCGCCACCACCTCCCTCTCCTTCTTCTCGGCGGCTGCTTTCTCTTCCTCTCTGCGTGTATCCACGCTTTTCCTCCTTAGTCCGCTAGCGTCTTTAGTCTCGTCCTCTTCCATTTCTCCTTTCCGCAACAGCTGGTGAGACGACAATTTCCGATCCTCCACTGCTCGATCAGCCAGCGCATTGCCAGCTGCTGCTGCTGCTTCCAGCATTCTCCCTTCTGCCAGAACAACCTCCTCCTCGCCGTTCTTGTCACCCTCCTCTTTTCCAATCCTCGGTTCCATCGCCCGACCTAATGCACCAAAAGTAGCTTCTTCTTCTCCTATCAACTCCATCGCACCGTCATTCTCCGCATGATCGTCCGTACGATCGAGGTCCTTCCTCTTATACTTGTCCGTACGATCGAGCTCCTTCCTATACTCGTCCGTACGATCGAGGTCCTTCCTATACTCGACATCTTCCTCTAGTGCCTTAGCTGTCGGTAATACCGAGGAGGGAGGGCCAGCGGAGCCCATGGCATCTGAAACACGGGGAACATCCGTTGATTCCCCGCAGTTGCCACGATAGCCATCCGATCCCATTCCCACCTCTGGTCCTTCTCGTCCTCTTCCCTTATCGTTTCCCTTCCCGCCATCATGGCGCTTCTCTTCGCCCGCGGCTGCTGCCTTGTTGGACTTCGGCTCCCCGGCCTCGGCTGTGCTCCTTGGACTGCTCTTGTACGCGGAGGTCCCGACGAGTCCAGATCCTCCTGCTAATCCCGGCCTCGACTTCCCGGTCTTCGTTGGCAGAGGTCCCACACACGGCCACTTCGGGACAGCTGCGCACTTCTCCCCATATCCATCACGAGTTGAAGAAGCAGGACCACCCTTCCCTGAAAAATGGTTTCTCTCAAAAACGACACTCGAGGAGAGCCGCGATCCTGCTGCACCCAAAGCCTTCTTCCTCTCTTCCGCACCATTCTCCTTCCCACCAACCTTGCCTCCCACTTGAATCGAAGACGGGACAAACTTCATCTGTGGTGACTTACTCGCACGAGCCATCATCTCAGTAGTACATAAAGGAGCTTTACCACCACTGCTGCTACCTGCAATCTCTCTCAGATTCCCAACGCTTCGCCTCAAATCGTTCACACTGCCAGACTTAACGCAGCCCCGAACGCTCCCCCACATGCCACTCCCATCCCCTCGGCGATCGAGCGACCGACCAAACGCGCTAAATTCCTTCAACACCGAGATGGCCGGAGGTTTTTTCTTCGCTGCAAAAGCTTTCGTCTCTCTCATGAGAGATGAAGGCGACTGAGGCAAGTCCCCCTGGCTGCCACTCCTCACCGAGCAGCAGCCGTCAAAGCCGTCTTCTTGCCCACACTCTGCACTCTCATCATCATGTGCTGCTGCTGGTTTGCCCTGGGGGAGCAGCAGATCCTCGCCTGCACCCTCGAGGGTGGGGGTGTCGTTCACCCCCCCCCTCATGCTGGACGAAGGTGACAGACAAAACACCGGTGACGAAAGGGTTTGCTCTCCTCCCTCATCAGTGCCCGACGCCGGCTGATTACCGGAAGATGAACAGACCTGCTCCTTGTCCTTGCGGCAACCGCCTGCTCCTTGTCCTCCTCCATTGTCCGCTCTCCCACGTCGATCGGATGCCGCCCGAGGGCTTCGGCTAACAACTCCCGCCGACGCGGAACTTCGTGGAGACGAACGAGGGTCCCCAGATATGTCCCGAAATTGACGAGCCACGGACCTCGATATGGCGGCAGGATCGGGAAGGCTCTGGCACGAGGATCGCAGCGCGCCTGTACTCCGCTCGCTCGGAGTAGACCCACCGGAGTCTCCCCCACCCGCGTCTCCATTGCCTCTTGTCAATCGGGCAATCGACCCGGCGACTGCTTCCGCCAAGTTCGTATCCAAGGGGGGCTTCCTCCGCTGCTTCGGCGTCCTCGGAGCGGACGACGAGAACACGGAGACCTGACTGGACTCCGTCTGCAAAGTCCGAGGATCCTCATCCGGCTTTGTCCATGTGTAGTCGATCGGCAGACCTTCGGCTGGCAGTCCACCCCAGCTATACTTCCTTGTTCGAGGTCCCTTCCCTTCCGACTCGCGTTTCTTCTCTTCCCGCAATGCCTCCGCCCGCTTCAGCGCCTCCTTCTTCTTCGCCGCATACTCGCTCAGATCCACCACTTTGTGAGGTCTCCCGACCTCTCGCTGGAAGCTTCGCATACATTCTACATGCGCCTGACTTCGACAAAGCATCTTCCACCGATCCGCCTTCTCTCTCTCTCTCTCTCTCTCTCTCTCTCTCTCTCTCTCTCTCTCTCTCTCTCTCTCTCTCTCTCTCTCTCTCTCTCTCACTCCCTCTCACACACACACACTCACACACACCCACACACACACACACACACACCCGCAGGCACTCACACACGCATACTCGCGGGGGAACACCAGCACGGGAAAGCACACGCACGTACAGACGAAAGACGCGCTTGCACAGACAAATGCTGGGACGAAAAGACGCCCACAGACAAAGAAACACGCATGCAAGTACACCAGCCCGCGCGCGCACAAGCACACACACACACACACACACACACACACACACACACACACACACACACACACACACACACACACACAGAGAGACGGAGTTTCGATCGTTCACAAAGCAGCCTGGTGATTTCGCCAACTCTTCTTTTGCTCCCTATGAAAGCAGTGCGACGCGGAGGCCAGAGGATCGCAAAGTGATTCAATTCACATGATCGAGTAAAGAGAAAGCATACTCAGAGCTGAGTACCGAGTAAGAAAGGAAAATACATTATCATAGGAAAAGCAATAGGAGCGAGAGGGATCGCACCGCTCGATGATCAGCATTGCCATTAGCAGGGGGGCCTCTGCCCGAAACAAATGCATGCGTGCCGTCTCAACTCCGCTCTTCGCTGGATACGTACACGCAGCAGCCGTCTGAACCACGGATCCTACCCAGGCCCCCCCACACCGCAGAGGCGACGGGGACCCCGATGGATACGTACACACCTTCTCGACCACTTCTCAAAGAAGAAGAGAGACGTGATCTACCCGTGTGCAGAACGAAATGTCTGATCCCGACCGCTCTCACTCACCATCCTCCCAATCCCACGACAAAAGAACTCCCCGTCTGTCTGGTGCGCCGTGCCCGTGAAGTCACCGGCGACGATCGCGGCTTGAAGTGCAGTTACTAGCAAGACCAAACGCACTACAATAGAAAACAGGAGAAGAGCAGAACAGAGAGCCGGGAGCCACCGACGACGTTGGTTTGCTGCATACAAGGACTGGGATGGGACTCAGATCGAAGGCACGATCGCGCCACCCGGCGCTACGTGGAGGCTTCGTCTGCACGGCAACATCGGAGCCTCCTTCTCCGTCGACTTCTCCGTCGAATTCGTCAGCCTGACGGTGAGAGAGGAACGGAGCAGCACAGTGTGAACAGACTCCCGCCCCTTCTGGTACGTGCCTCACCTTCCCCTTCCTTCTCCGTCTCTCCCTGCCTCTAAGCTCCCTTTCGGGCGCGATGAACGCCCACCCATCCTCTCAAGTAGCCGCGTCCATTCGCCAAACCAACACAATGAGGGTCAGATCCCACTACCCTCGATTATTCATTTTTCACCCTCGATTACGAAGATCGACGGTCAGCAAGTGGGATCTGGCCCTCAGTCTCGAAGGGGGGAAATGTGAGTGTGAGTGAGGGAAATGAGGGAAATGAGCCTCCGCGTGAACAGATGCCAAAAAGAGGGGGCACACGTGGATCATGCTCGAAGTGGTATTCAATTGAAGGCGTAGCGACCTGTCAGGAATTTCTGTCTTTTGCTCCTCTGCACCGCCGTGAGCAGGCGTACAACAGTTGTGGTCGGCAGGCCCCTTTTCTTTCCTTTATGCCACCTAGTAACTACCGGGGGCAAGGTCCCCCTTGCGCAAATTAGGAGATTTCGGCCGTTGATCTTTGCTATCTACGGTCAGTATCTCTTAATTCGTGCAAGTGGGACCTAGCCCCGGGGGTGGGCTATTTTTCCTACTACTGCTTTCATCGCAAGCCTTCGCATCGCACGCAAGAGCACATTTGTTTTTGGTCGTTTGGGGGGGGGGCCGCGCTCACGCTTGCACCTTCCATGGCCTGTGGGCTGTCGTTTTCTCCTTTTCGGCGCCCACCCCTCAATCACTCGCCGAGGCGTTCACATCCATCACATCCATACGGCGGTGTCACAGCGCCGGGAATACCGCCGCTACCAACTTTCGTTGTTCAAATGAGAGCGCAAGCCGTTCTTCCCGCGCCAATGTTGGCGCGCGGCACCGCTCACGCCTGGGAGCTCCCAGGCGCTGACCGCCGCTGATGCCTGGCCCCTATTTCGTTCCGTCTTTTCGCCAGCGATCATGCGGTGTGTCCAGATAGGCTGCATCGCACGGTTGGGTTTCTCCCTTTCAGCCGACCAGCTGACACAGACGGCTCGATTTCCTCAAATGGCTCCGTAATCTCTGCTTGGGGGCTTTTTCACTGTCGACAGGCGTACCGGCCTGCGAGCTGACTGGCACGTGCCCGGAACTGTCGACGAAATCCGGGAAGGGAAAAAAAGATATAAAAAAAAACAAAAAACAAAAATCCGGGAAGGGAGTACCTTAGCCAGCGGGCCTACCCGGTAGCCAGGACATACTCAAACTAGGAACTTTCCTGGGCCTGGATGTATATGATCGCTTGTCCAACCCGTGGGGATGCACCTGACCGCTATATGGTCCACAGAGAAGTGGAAAAAGTCCTTAGTAACAAACATGACATCCCGTGGGCCTGACGTACATGCCTGGCATGTTTGGTGTCCTGCCATCTACAGAACGCGCTGGGCCATTCATGGCACTGGCTATGGCCATCCGCAGTTCTCCATTTTTTATTATATACATTTTATTTATTTACACAGCTCTCCAATTACATTGATGGCTTGCAAAAATACGATGCAAGGCCGGTGCACCAGGCACCGCGTCGCCAAGCGGCGTAGTGCTATTGCCGCTGGCGTCAACGCTAGGGTTGGCGTACGTCTGCCCGAGCTGAGGTTGCTATGGGCGGCTGGCATTGACCGCCTGCAATGATCCCACTCATGCAGTGTGGGTGTGGTCATATACGACACCCGGGCAGCGGAGACTGATTGCTGCGCTGTTGGCGGCAGGTGCGGGATGTTGCGTGGAGTGTTAGCGGTGCATCTGCAATATCCTATACGGAGCAATAACCAGGGCGCTTGTGCACAACTGGTTTCAGACAAAGGAGCAGTGTTTTGTTTCGACTTTGGGAGATGATCAATAGGTTCAACACTGCTTGCTGCAATAGACGAGCATCGTTGATTATTGGAACCGGTTCTGCGAAGCTCTTCGTGTTGAAGAGAGTCTTGTTGTCCACTTGTCGTGGCCGTCTTTGTGAGCAGGTATCAATAGCTTTTGTCCTTCGCTATTGCATGTGCCCACGATTTTTCGGATTGTTTCGCTCGGTTCCTTTTAGGGACCGCAACTATTTTTGTTATTGCTTTTGTGGCAGCACATTGTGTGTCTTTGCTAATGTTTCCAAATGTGGTTTCTTGTTTGCCTTGTCTCATTTTTTGCTGAATGGTTATCAGCTCTCGAAGTGGAAAGAGAGCGGACATTTTTTAGGAGAGACATTGGTTGGTTTTTCATTTGAAGGGGTGTTTGTTTGTGTGTGTGTATGTGCGTGTATGTGTGTGTACGTGTGTGTATGTGTGTGCGTGTTTGTGTGTGTATGTGTNGTGGGGAAGACCCCCGCGATTGATTGATTGATTGATTGATTGATTGATTGATTGATTGATTGATTGATTGATTGATTGATTGATTAATTATTTGATTTATTTATTTCTTTATTCAATTTTGTTGTTCTTTTTTTTTGTTGTTGATTGATTGATTAATTGATTGATTGATTGATTGATTGATTGATTTATATTGATTGATTGATTGATTGATTGATCGATTGATTGATTGATTGTGTGTGTGTGCGTGTGTGTGCGTGTGTGTGTGTATGTGTGTGTGTGTGTGTGTGTGTGTGTGTGTGTGTGTGTGTGTGTGTGTGTGTGTGTGTGTTTGTGTGTGTGTATGTGTTTGTGTGTGTGTATGTGTGTGTGTCTATGTGTGTATGTATATGAGAGAGAGAATGGGGGGACGGAGGATTTGAGATAAAGGGGGGAAGTGTGAGAGAGAAAGGGGGCGGAGAGTAAGGGGGAAGGGACACAAAGCACTATTTTATAGGTTACAAGAATGGTCCAGAACAAGGTGCCCAACAGGGCACAAAAAAAAAAAACTATTTTTATTTTTTATTTTTATTTTCATAAAGAATTTTTATGTGACCCTCAGACAAAAGTTGCTCATTTTATTTTTCTCAATAGCATAGTTTTTTGTTTTTGTTTTTTTTTAATTGATTCCTAGGCTACTAGAGTGCTCAAGGACCACATACCCACCTGAGGAAAATAATACTATTGATAATAAAATTATTAAAATAATAATAATAATAATAAATAATAATAATAATAATAAAATATATTTATTATAAAATATTAATTATGATTATTATCAGTGTTACCTGACCCAATGTTCGGGGGCCCTCGGGCTGGCCCCCGAACGTTCGGGCATTCGAGGTCCCATTCGGGGCCGAACACCTCCAGGTTCGGCCCCCGCCAAAATTTTTCTCGGGGTCTAAAAATAAGTTTTTTTTTATGAATTGTTTTTTGTAAGTTCTTTATGATGTAACCTACACGCCTATAAATTTTGAAGCCATTCTGCTAAGCCAAACAAACATTAAAAATCGTCAAAGATGGGGGTGTCAAAACGTGCTCGCCCACTCACTATTTTGTTTTTATTCACTTTTAACCTTTTGTTTTTACTTTATTTTGGGCCTAAAACATTTTATTATTTTTTGGAAACTTTTTAATGAGTTATTGATTATGTAAACTACATATCTGTAAATTTTCAGGGCATTTATCAATGCCAAAAAATAATTAAAAATCGGCAAAGATGGCGGTGTCGAAAAGGTGCTGGCACACTCACTCATTTTAATTCTCTTTTTATTTTTGCTTATTTTTATCATAGTGTTTATTTTCTGTATTTGATTTTTAATTCAAATTTGGTAAAGACTTTGGATGTAGTGCCCAGGCAAATGTAGTTTAGTTTATTGTTTTCAATAACACGGTTTTTTTTTTTAATGTTTTGAAAACTTTGTTTTTTTTTTTTTTTTTTTTTTTTGTCTGCGTCCGGCCCGAACGGCCGAACACCTTCCGGAGGGGTCCCATACGTTCGGGCGTTCGGCCCGTCCCGAATGCCGACAACCCTGATTATTATAATATTAAATATAATAAATCATAATAATAATAAATTTAGCAAAAATTTTCGATGTGACCCTGATAAAAGTTGTTCAATCTATTTTTCTCCATAATTTTTTTTTTTTAAGGTTTTTTTTTTATGGGACCTTCCAGTGTCCCTGCATGCATAGGCCGCCTCGAAACCCAAAGTGACCTACGCGACCTAGTTGATAGCCTTTTTTTTTTCTTTTTTTTTTTGCATTCGGGTTCGGTTTAATACGTCTCAAAGGGGGGCTGAATGTTCGGTCATTCATCCCGTCTTGCTCGGGCCAAAACGAACGTTGGTAACCTTTATTCATATATTTTGTTTCATAGTTGGTTTGTAATTCCTTATGGTTTTGTTCCTCGAGAGGTTTATCCACCTTGTTTTAAGATAAGGGGTTGTTATTTTGATCCAGTGATAGTTTTAGATGTTGAGTATAATGTTGCTTCGAAGTGTTTGGAAATTACTTTTTACTTCGAGACTCCGAGGGATATTTTGCGAATTCAACTTCTGTTACATTTCTTAGATAATTTGTGTTAAACTTTTTCTTTAAATGAGAAACTCAGAATTAAGTATGAGTCATTTTGCCGGAGAATGTTGTATGTCTTTTGTGCTTCATTGTTCAGATACGATGAAATGTTTTTTGCTGTTATGGGTTGTTTATCATTGGTCCAAATAGGAAAAGGTATGGGTTGTGTAGATGCCAATTGAAGTTGGATCCGCCGTTGTAGATTACTTCAAGTTGGCGTTTTCAAGTTAGCGTTTGAATATTATCCTTGTAAAAGTTGTTTTGATGTGAGAAATGTTAAATTACTATTCCTAGTAAATTTTGAATTGTTATAAAAAATTGATTAAAGATTGTTTAGGTTTTTTTTTTTTTTTTTTTTAAGTTTTGTGAATTTCATATTGGGATGTTCTGCAAAGGTGACGATCTGTTTAGTTTAGGAAGCAATGTCTAAGGCCAGGTGGCCTCTTAAATTCGTGAACTATTTAATACCTAATTGATCATATAAGCCTTCAACACATTACTTGTTTGTAAGAAATTTTAAGGACAAAACAAAACAAAACTATGCTAACCAAAAACATCACTGAGATGGCTCAACGATGAGTTTTAAAGTTTAAATAATCTATGCAATTGGACGGGCTAGAGCACTGTTCAAATTAGATATATTATTTGTTTCCATTTTTATGCGCTAACAAAAGACGAAACGTTTTTGTGGATAGTTTGTTTCATGCAAGTAGGGTTTTTTTATGGGCTCATGATAAATACATCTCGTCTTTAATTTTTTTTTTTTGAAGTTTTGTTTGGGTTTATTGCAAGGACTTTAGGAATGTATGTTTTTAATTGGTTGTTATGTGGAGCTTTGTTTAAGTCAATTAAAAAGATTTTACCTGGGTAGCACCGCGTACGAGTACGTGGTGCGTACACGTACGTACTCGCGCGTACGGGTACATGCTTAAAATGCGCGTACGCGTACATATTTTATATATAATATAATATAATATATATTAATAATATTATATAGCATTATATACCATATTATACATATAATATATACAGTAATATAGTAAAAATATACTGCTATTTCTATTATACCTTTACGGAAGGCAACGGGGAGGTAGACGAGATGGCAGAGGAAGACAACGAGGGGAGGAGGAGGAGGAGGAAGACGATGTTGAGGACAAGGAGATGGCGGGCGAAGATGACTTGGGGGAGGACCGGGTGGAAGATGGCGACGGGAAGGTGGGGCAGATGGAGGAGGGCAACGATGGGGAGGAATGACGATGGGAAGGTGGAGACGATGGAGAAGGGAACGTGGTGGAGGATATGGAGGTCGAAGACGACGACGATGACTGGACGATGACTGCGGGGGAAGATGACTGTGGGAAGGAACGGGTGAAAGATGACGACGGGAAGATGGGGTTGATGGTGGAGGGCGACGATGGGGAGGAAAGACGACGAGAAGGTGGAGACAATGGAGGAGGGAAGGTGGTGGAGGATATGGAGGTGGAAGACGACGACGATGACGGGACGATGACTGCAGGGAGGAGCGGGTGGAAGATGGCGACGGGAAGGTGGGGCAGATGGAGGAGGGCGACGATGCAAAGGAAAAACGACAGGAAGGTGAAGACGATGGAGGAGGGAAGGTGATGGAGGATATAGAGGTAGAAGACGATGACGATCACATACACACACACACACACACACACACACACAGCGGCGCCGGGGGGTAACGAGAGGGGGGGGTAAGACCTTCCCACCACGATTTCGAAGGTTTCCCTTTCCCTCGACACTACCCCCTAACCCTGCTTTGGCCCCGACCCATCCCCCCGCCCACCCTCCAACCCCTACGGGCGAAATCAAGCCCGGGAAATGGTCCGGTGCAACCACGTACGAGGGCCCCAAATTTGGGTACGCGCATACACGTACGGGACACGTACGTGCGTACGTGCATACGCGTATGCACGTATGCAGAGCCCGCATACGTGTACGCGGTGCTACCCAGGATTTTACGTTGAACCACCACGACCTCCGAGTCTATTTTAGTGACCCTGATTTTCACTGCGCACCGAGTTTTGTCAAGTATGGGTTTCGCTTTGTTTATTTTCTGTTACTCTCGTGGGAAAAAAAAAAATCACGATCTAACTTTCAAAAAACGACTCGCTCGCAACCATAAAAAAATAAAAGAAAAAAACAAACGCCCCGCAAAACGTAATATCAGGTAGATACCTAGTCCAAAGTAGTTATGTGAGCATGTCGTCAGTGAGGGCGTTACAACAAGGGGGTCATGTCTAGGGAAGAAGAAAAATGACAAAAAAAAATTAAAACTGAGCTAAGGTCGGGAAAGTGGGTTCATACGTTATGCGAAGTAATAATGTGGGCATGCTCTCCTTCACAACGTGTCAGCAGCGTGTGGACCAAGTTGTGCCTAATAGGCGCGACACCAAAACTAAGGAGGGGAAAAAAAAAAAATGCAAAGACTTAAAACATGAAACTAACCATTATAGCAATTAGATACGAACATGTGAGTTTTGGTTTGAGCACAACTTGGTTTACGGTCTTCCCCGACATTATCTTTTATTTTCGTTTTGTTTTTCAAAGGGGCCCACAAAACCCAACTGTTGAGTCTCGTCCAACCCCCGAGAAGTTGAGAAAAAAATGAAAAACAACCACTTTTTTCTTTTTTTCCAAGAGTGACAGAGGTAGTGGTGGTTTAACAACTTTTCGTTAATGTTTTAGTTTAAATTTTATACTTTTTTTTATGTAGTTGGCTTTTATGTAGTTGGTTTTTATGTAGTTGTGATAGGGATTTTATTGCGACTTTGTCAACTTTATCAGTTTAAGCAATAAAAAATACGTGTAATTTAACGAATTAGTTCATTATTGATGTTTGTTTTCTCGGTTTTGTTAGTGCTACATGTTTTCCTCGTTTTTCGGAGATTGGTGAGATTTTTTGGGGAGTGTTTTTCCCTTTTGTAGATTCGCGAGGACTTGATTATGATTCTCTTTCACACAGGATGTGTTCCACTTGCTGGATGCATTTGGAGGCCTTGTGACTCTTGTATCTGAAACTTTATCTCAATTGTTTTTGCTTTGGGCGCTGGACTATAATAATGAAGAGAAACTTTCTAAAATAAAAATAAAATTTTTTACTTATAAAGTTTTTATTTTTATTTGACAAATTTTGTTTTAAAATAAGTTTCACCTTCCAATTATAAATAAAATTTGAAGAAAGAAGGAAAATTTTGGTAAGTTTATTCAATATTTTAAATTAATTTTTATTATACTATAATAAATATTTTATAATTTATATCGGATTAACTAATTTTTAAACGGAACTCTTTAAAATTAAACGACAATTCCATTAAAATAGTTAACGAACTCTACCATGCAATTTAAACTAAAAGAGATAACTCATTATTTGAATAAAATTTTTCACGTAAAATGCTTTTTTTTTAAAATGAAAATGACAATCTTTAAGATGCAGTGATAGTTTTAGTTTCAAATTTATTTTTCAATATCTTATATTTTTTCAATCTTATGAATTTTTATATTGAAAATGAAAGTCGGCAGACAACTGTCTCTTATTGTTGTTCAATTAACAAGTGATTCAATCATTAACTCGATGGTTGAATGATTCATTAACTCATTGTTTTACTATTTAGATGAATAATTATTTCTTCATTGAGATACTCTTCATCGACTATTTGAAAGTTAAATTAATTGTTAAGTTAATTGATTAACTAACTTCATCGATTCATTTTTTATTGCTTGTCTGATACAATATTTAATAACCAATAGCCGACTTTTATGTTTGTTTGATTCAATAAAAAATAGTACTTCATTGATAGATAGATTGATTTACCATTATTAATAACTCAATAACTTTAAATTTTCACTATCTGATTGATTATTTTATTATATTATAGTTGATAAAACCGATTGGGTAAATTAAGTAATGAAAACGGTTATTTAATTGACAGATTGAGCTTATTGAATAAATTTATATATTCATGTGTAGCACACCGAGTATCCTTAGCGCCCCACCGAGCAGCCGAGCATGTTCGGATGCTCGACCGAGCAGGAACCGAACATGTTCGACCAAGTGCAAATTATGGGGCGTGTCCTCTTGCGTGTGTGGTGTGCGGGGTGTGTGGGGTGTGTGCGTGTGTGTGGTGTGTGCGCGTGTGTATGTTCAGGAGTGGTGAGCAATGCCCCTCTAACCGCTATATATATAAAAATAAAATAAAAATAATAAAAATGTTCAGGCTCGGTCTATTTTGAATTACGTTCATGCTCGGTACCAAGCGTTCGGGTTCGGTCACCGAACTCGAATGCGATACTACGCAGATATATTCATTTTCAAATAAATTGTTGACCTACTTATTACCTAATTGACTGATTGATTAACTAGATAAATTATTTTGAAATTTATGTTTATTTTATTATCATTATATTTTAATCAATAATAGTAAATTCACTGTTTGCTTCACTGGCCATTTTTTCGACTGAACGATTTCGTTATTAACCCCTTTCTACGTGTATTTCATTTGAAATTTGTTCGATTTGCTAACCGAATTATGTTCGATTTACCATTTTTTTCATTGACTGTTTGCTCGATTAAGTGATTTAATGCTTGAGTAACTCCAACGAGTATCTTAGTAGTAGTTTGTTTAATTGATTGATTGACTAAGTAACTCCTATGAGTATGTCAATACACTTTTGAACATGGTGTCATGGTTGTAGTAATTAAGAGACATGGTTTTTAAGGTTCAGATCATCGGTTTGAATCAGTGCATGCATAAAAGAGGATTTCGACCTAGATGTGCGGTTCCATAAACTATGGATTATGAACTACCGAACATTTCAAATGAACCTTGAAAAGTGAGTGGGCTAAGTGCTAATAGAGGGTAAGTGCAAATTACATCAAAGTATAATAATATATAATAACACTTATACCAATATAAAAATAATGGATGTATATTAGTTATCCTTTTTGGTCTAGTACAGTCAGGACTGGAGCGCATTGATTTTGGCGATCGACATACATTTTTCCCTCTCTATCAAAGTGAGTATTTTTTTATCCCATCTCTCCCTCTCTTTCTCTCTCTCGCACGCATTCACACACTAGCGTATACGCACACACACACACACACACATGCGTGCACTTACACACACGCATGCACGTACGTAGTAGTGTAAATTTTCATGTTCTGGCCGTAGATTCATCCGATTTTGCTCATCCTATCGATGGAAGTAGCGTGAGGTCCGCCGCAATGTCGGCATTCACACACCCACACACTCAAACCACCGTGTGTGGCATTGTATACTTTCATGTTCTAGTTGTAGATTCATAGATTTTGCTTGTGGGCCACAAGATTCGCACAAGCTCACACGCAAACGCACATAGGGATACACATTCGAGGAGTAGTGTATATTCTCGTACTTTAGCGGTAGGTTAATTTGATTTGTTCATCATGTTGATGAAAATATCGTGAGGTCCATCATGGGGTTGGCGACTTACCTTCTTGCAATGAGATCCATCACGACGCATGACATTCCGAGACCACAGCATGAGACAGGACAGACACAATCGTGCATCCAACAAGTCGGGCGATGACGGGCAACTTCACGACACTATCTGCAGATGCATCACGTATTCCACAAGCCTTCACCCTCACATATGGTAAGCAGCGGATGCAAGATCGTGGCACCTGTACCTCTACCACATGCAAATGACCGCCAACTAAATCGTTGTCGGCGATTTGTCGCCATCATCGCAAAAGGATGAGTGAGTGTGAACGAGACGATCCACTAGCTAGCACCACGGCATAGGAAAGCCCCTACAGTCGAGACCGCCGTCAACGACGAGCGAGTTGTTGTGAAAGCCCTCCGAGCGAGACGATTCGAGGTCCAAACAGCGTTGCAAAAATCGTTCATTGACTACCAGAAAATGACTCGTCCGTCCCTCGCAAACTGGAAACTTTCTAAAGCATGTGCGGAATGTCCCTCCTAACTCGAGTACAAAGTCCAACTCACGCTCGGAATATCACCATCATCGACTGCAGTGCCAGGTGATTCTTCTCCTTCTCCATTTTTTTTTTTTTTTTTTTTTTCTCTTCTTCGTTTTCTCCTTCCCCTTGTTGCGCGTTATCGTGATTGCAGACACGAAGTCATTGCCACCACAAAACAATAGTCGCTCTTCCCGAAACTTACGGGCTGAGAGTGTTGAAGTTGAGTTTCGATAACAGGTGTTGCCTCCACCATTTACACGCGCGGGAGGTCGCCATCATCATTCGCAACGCCAAGTAGGTCGCCCTTTCCCCTTCTGTCTTTTTTTTTTTTTTTT